CACCCTGCTGACCGTCACCCACCGGCCCTCCCTCTGGTGAGTCAATGGTCAACATCACCCTGCTGACCAGTCACCCACCGGCCCTTCCTCTGGTGAGTCAATGGTCAACATCACCCTGCTGACCGTCACCCACCGGCCCTCCTCTGGTGAGTCAATGGTCAACATCACCCTGCTGACCATCACCCACCGGCCCTCCCTCTGGTGAGTCAATGGTCAACATCACCCTGCTGACCATCACCCACCGGCCCTCCCTCTGGTGAGTCAATGGTCAACATCACCCGCCGACTCTGATGAGCTGCATCCGCACCATCACTCACCGGTCAGCCGTCCTTCCCCTCTGGTGAGCTGCGACCTCGCCGCCACTCGTCGGCCCTCCCTGTGGCGAGGTTCAGCCCCAGTGATGCCCATTAGCTCCTCTGGTGAGTTACATCATCACCAGTATCCATTGGGCTCCCCCTTGGTGAATTACAGCCATGGGTAACCGATCCTTTTCCCGTTTAGCCAGTTGTGATGTCGCCACTATTTCCTGTCACCGATCTTCCCCTTTTAATGAGCTGAGGCCAATTTCACAAAAGCTGCAGCTGGCGTGAAAAGGCGAAATCGGGTTGATCATGCAGTTGTTATAAATAAATACAAATGGTTGTGTTTCAGCTCAAAGGAAAACGTGATCATGGAGGTCCAAATGACGTGCGAAACCACATGCCTATTGATGCGATCACAAGGTTTTTATTTCACGAATCAACGGGCCAATGATGGCCCACAGGCCAACCAATGATGTCGGCGCAGGTTGTTAAAATGTAACTCAAGGTATGTTTAACGGTACGTGTGAATGCATTCCTTCTAAAAAGACGATCCAGTAAAATGTAATGCGGAAGAAAGTCTATTCACGGGTTGTCAGGAGCTGGGGAATTCACGCGCACTTCAGATGAGCATAGATCTGCGGCAGAATATTAGATAGATGTACCCACCTGTACGGGCATGGCAAATGCTACGTGTCGCGGTCGTGATGCACCACAGAGCGCTTGTATGTTTAGCAGGCGCCACGTACGCCACACCGTGCTGTGCTCACTCGGTAATGATGCCGCGCTCACGGCGGTCCAGATAGCCGCGCTCACGGTGGTTCAGATAGCCCCGCTCACGATGGTTCAGATAGCCGCGCTCACGGCGGTCCAGATAGCCGCGCTCTCGGTGGTCCAGACAGCTTGTTAAAGTCGTGTAACCAGTGCTACTTGGTTTTCGAAGTTTGGTAATTGTCAGCATAAGGCCTCTGAACTCGGCAAATGATGAAATGAATAAATGATGGCGAGTGATGCAAAATTGGTTCGAAACGCGCAGCGGGGTCTGAAAATCTGAGTAGGCCGCTCCCATTGAAATATGCTTGTAACGCACTTGCGTGTTTTTGTCAATGCATTTAAAAGTGCTAGTGCATTTAACGGTTTTGCATCTATCTGCGGCTGAAACACGATGTCATCCGTCCGCGACATATCTGTTTTGCCATGCCAAAAATGACTATGATTTTTACCGTTGCATACTCAAATTTGGTGGGATAAACTTTTGACATAAGAAACGTTAGCTGCAGAAAATGTGTCATCTTTACTAGAACATATTATTTCCATCAAATACTCTGCACTCTGGGGATTCCAGTGGCATAATTTTTGGTGCTACACCTGCGACACAAGTTGTTGTACTGAGCAGAAAAACCGGCTCTCCTGAACATTTTTAGGCTTCAGAAAAGCGCGGCGTACAGTTTTTACCATTTGTGCCTCAGAGATGTACCTGTGTGCATGTTCTATGTACATGTGTGTTTGCAGTTTTTATCAAGGTATATGCTTGATCCGACCCTCTTATCCTCTTCCTTGCTTCGTCCTGCATCCTCGTGACGCTCCGCTTGTTCGAAATAGGCTGCATGTGCGGCCACAAATGGGTTGAGAGGCCCCTGGAGGGGGGCCCCGACCAGACGCCCAGCGCGTGGCCCGTAGAGGGGCCCATGCGCGGGCTAGGGTTCGTCGGTTGCCCCCCCCCCCCCCCCAGGCCCGTTTAATTCTTCCCCACCATTATCCAGTCTCCCTCATCCCGTAGCCTCGAAATGATTGTGGTTGGTCGGAAGGCTGGAATCCATGTAATCAGATAACCAACTAAGGTACATGATCCAATGTACAACCAAGCTACAGTTACAACTGGCAGCTTTTCGGATGACGAATTTGTAGGCTAGCTAGTTCGTTATTGCTCATTAAGCTGATCAGTGTTTGGGAAAGGGATCACAAATCATGCGGAACACGTGATGCGAATACCAAATCCTGCTGAACTTTACCTCATGAACCACCACAGCCACACGCCGGCCAACGCCTCCCTCCCTATCGAGATGTGCACCACCGCAGGCTGTTTCTGGCTGAGGTGGTGCCTCGTCTCAGCGAGAGACGCCGCTGTTCCCCCGGTGACGCGCGCCGCCCCTCGCCCGCAGGCCGTACCACTCGCACCTGCTGCAGTTCGACGGCGAGGGCGGCTGGCGGTTCGAGGAGCTCAACACCGAGACGCGGCTCTCGCTTAAGGACGAGAAACAGTCGCTGGAGCAGCAGCTCAGCGGCGTGCCCAAGATGCAGGAGCGGCTGCAGGTGAGGCGAGATACCGGCGGCGGCGGCGGCGGCTGCGCCAGGCCGCCCTGCACCAGTCGGGCTCCGGCGGAAACCAAGTGGGCGAGGTTTGAGGCGAGACAGCGGCGGCGGCGGCGGCTGCGCTAGGCCGCCCTGCACCAGTCGGGCCCCGACGGAAACCAATGGGCGAGGTTTGAGGCGAGACGGGAGCGTCTCGCCAGCGGGCTGAACGGCGGAACACTGTTATGGTGTGATGTTTTTGCTCTTGAGTCTCTGGTTCGGGCCTTGTATCATATAGCAGTGTCCAGCATTCAGTGCGTGTACAAATCTGAGCATCGCACTGAGCATCTGAAGTGTACACAAAGCGCCTCATGGTGAAGTTTTGCCGTGGCGGCCGCCAGCGGGCCCACTGGCGATGCCTGCCGGTCGCCGTCCAGCACCGCGGAGCTGACAGTCCGTGCGCGCCGCAGGAGCTGTGTAACCTGCTGGGCGAGGACTCGGCGGTGCTGGGCGCCGCCTCCACCGACTTCCTGTCGTCGGAGGGCTCCGAGTCCCGCGCCAGGAAAGAGTCGGAGGGCTCGTCGGAGGAGGGCGGCCGGTAGTGGGGAGGTGTCGCCCCTCGGCCGCGCGCACTAGCGGGTGGCGCGCCGGATGACGCAGCGCGGACGCCGAGACACCCGGTTGTGCCCGGCACCGGGGCAGACGACTGTTCAGTTTGAGGATGGTTACTCTGTTGTGATTTTAGTCAGATTAGACCGGTCAAGATCATGCGGGTCGGGACGGATCGCTTTTATGGTCGGAACGGATCGGATGCCAGGGTGAAAACGTAGAGGCTTCCTTGTGATTATGGAAAGTTTTTATTAGCTTTATCACGGAACCATGTGTGCTTGAGTGTCCACGCACGTTGTTCTATTCCACTATCCAACAATGTATCGGCGCGCCCGGAATCAGTGGGCGTCGGGGCTTCCGACGGCTAGAGAACCGAAGGGACCAGGTGACGCAGGGCGAGGGTGCCGAGCCGGCAGCGGCCGGCGCACCCCTATGGACTCGGCGGCGTGGGTGGTACCGCCGCTGATGATCTAGTCGCCCGTCGCTAGTGAATACTCTACTCCGACATTGATATTGGGCGTGCACGCTGTTGTGCATCACTGTGTATGCGTTCTCAGCCAGGCTGCCGCACGAGGTGGGCCTGGTTAGTGGCCATGTTGAGGATCGACTCAGGACACCCATGAAATGACAAGCACCTGCTGTTTGATTGGGCTTTGAGTGCGGTGGGGACACAATCTAGTGCAATGTGCGACGCGGCTACAGCTCGTATCCAGGCATTATGTTTGCGCAGCGCCAGTGGCGGCTGTATTCAGAAGGCGTTTATCGCTTTGCGCAGTGTGATGGTTGTGCCACCTTGAATACACTGGTACCTGGGAAGAACGTCCTGATGCATATGTTGAGCGTTACAAGGGAACCGGGCACATCAAGTGCGTTCCTTCCGTCTGGCACCTAAGCACAGTCTATCCAAGGCAGTACCTGCAACGAGTTTGGTATCAACTATTTCGGAGCAAACAGACCACATGAAGAAGTGATTGTATTGTGGCTCACACTTGCAAACACCCGAAAATGTGCCAGTGCGTGCGGCTGTGATAAACGCAGACCGTGTATTATTGCTAGCAAGATTAAAACCGGCGTGCGATATGGACATGCAAGATCGCGCAGGCCCAAAACCCTGATGACGTTGGATATACACTATAGCAGCACATCGTAGTTGACTCGCAGGCCGAGAGGCCGGTCGCTGTGGCCGCTTTGATCGCCCCGGACAGCCGGGAGCTCAAAGCGGGCGCACAGCACGGCGGCGAGGTGCGCACATCACGGCGGCTAGTGACGCGCGGCACGCGGGCCGGCCGGCACGGCGACTTGTCCAAGCGCTCTGAGATTTCATTGTGCGCCACGCGGAAAACAAGCAGGAATTCGTCCGGATATCATGAGGATGGGCCGCCGCAGACGCTGTCAGCCGGGCATTCCCGGACCTGACGACGCGTCCAGACGCCTCGGCGAGCACGTGCCGCGCGTGACCGGACCACGACACACTTCCGGCGAGCCATGTCGGCCTCAGATGCGGAGCGACTTGGAGCGGACGAGCGAGCTGAGCGATGCGCCCGAGAAGAGGGAGCGCGTGCGGCGCGTGTCGCCGGCGGCCAGCAGCTGCCGGTCGGCCTCCAGCAGCCGGCGGCTGTAGATCTCCGGGTATGTGTCACGGAACTGCGGCAAACGGCGCGCGCGCGCGCGCTCGTCAGCCCGCGCGCCAGGACACAACACACGCCTGGCGGCACATGACCAGCGCGCGCCGGCCACAGGGCGGAGACACGTCTCACGACACTGGGGCGTATGTCACTGCACTGTGGCCCGCACCACATCAGCCAGTTCAGACTGCAGCCACTGCGAAGCGCAACCCCATGTCCCTGCATCCTTCTCACGGCTTACAGTTGCAACTCCGCTCGGCCAACCAGCGCACGAGGCGTGAACAGCGCCCGTTCCGAAAGGCGGGAACCTCCCCTCCCCCACCGGGTCGGCCGGCACGGCTGCCGTCTCTCCACCCCACCTGCTGGAGCTTCTTGCGCTTGTCCTTGCGCGACATGGCCGTGTCGGCGATGATGACGTCGAGCAGGGAGAGCAGCGAGTCGGAGGTGCGCGCCAGACGGTCGCGGCCGTACTGCTCGGCAGACATCAGCTGACAGTAGGTGATCGGGGTCTCCTCGTACTGCACCTGCATGCACGCACAGGTGACAGGCTGAGGCATGGCTGCGGCCGCCTGTCCATTTGCTGCCCGTCAGTCCATCCCTCAACTACTCTCGCTTCTGCAGCCTGTCAGTCCACCCCTCGCCTTCTCTCGCTGCTGCTGCTAGTCAGTCCATCCCTCACCTTCTCTCGCTGCTGCTGTCCGTCAGACCACCCCTCACCTTCTCTCGCTGCTGCTGCCTGTCAATCCACCCTTGCCTTCTCTCGCTGCTGCTGCCTGTCAGTCCACCACTCACATTCTCTCGCTGCTGTTGCCTATCAGTCCATCCCCCACCTTCTCTCGCTGCTGTTGCCTATCAGTCCATCCCCCACCTTATCTCGCTGCTGCTGCCTGTCAGTCTATCCCCCACCTTATCTCGCTGCTGCTGCCTGTCAGTCCACCTTCTCTCGCCGCTGCTGTCAGTCGGTCCATTCCTCACCTTCTCTCGCTGCTGCTGCTGGACGCGGTCGCGGACGGCGTCGCGGATCTGCACGGCCGGCGCCAAGATCTCCGAGTGGTGGTCGAGCAGGTAGCCGACGAGGCGGCGCGCCAGCACAGTATCGCACGCCTCCCGCTCCGCCGGCGGGCTCAGGATGCGACCGGCAAACGTGCTCACCATCTGACAGGGAGAGGCGGGCGGGACGTCAGGCCGCCCGCGGGGGCCAAGTCAGGCGCGGACACAGGTCAGGCAGCCGACCTCGGGCTCGACAGAGACAGATCAGACACGGCACCGGGCCGGGACAGTCTACTCCGAGCCTGATGGAGCCAGATGAGGCACGTAGCCCGACATGGGGTCAGGCCAGACATGGGTCGGGTCAGACACGGAGCCAGGTCAGGTACCCAGTCCGGCCTGGCCGGGTCGGGCCGCGCCAGGCAGACAGCCCGCTGCGACCATCATAATACGCCGGCTGGGGACGTAAGACAAGCCGCCCACTGTCAGACTCCGCGCCTGAACGGACGCTGGGTGTCGACGGCCGCTCGGTTCTGCTCCGGCCGCCACACCACCCGTGGCGGGAGCGTGTTCACCGCGGCAGCGGCGTCTGCCGCGCTGCCCCGACAAACCAGATCCGCATGGGACGGCCCTCCAGCCCCCCCCCCCCCCCCCCCCCTGTCGTCCCCACACGCTGCATTCTCGGGCCACGCCCATTAGCGAGGTGCGAAGAGGCGTGGAATCGGCGCCAGATCCGCGGTGATTGCGGACCGCAGGAGCGCTGCGGAACGTGACGTCTAGGTCCGCCTTCAGCACGAGTGAGCGTCGGGCGCACCAAACGCGCGTCTGCATCGCCAGCGAGCAATGTCGCTCCGACGCCAGCTGAGCCGTAGAGGCCGCCACACAGCGCTCAACCGGGGCGCCGCTCTGTCCAGGGCGGCGGCGCCGTCGGCGGGCCGCCCGACTCACCAGGTCCCGGCTGCCGGCCGGGTGGGACAGCTGCAGCCGCTGGTTGCCGGCCACCTTGTGCATGAACTGGAGCAGCAGCTGCAGCTGGCGGCGGCAGGTGGGTGGCAGCAGCGTCAGCAGCAGCTGCAGGCCCTCGCGGGCCAGCTTGTGTCCCTCGGCCGTCACCAGATCTGCGGCGGAGCAGAGGCGGCCGGCCCGTCAGCTGAGAGCGACGCGGACGCGCCGGCTTCTCAGCCGGGACGCACGCGTCGGTTCGCCTTCGGCAGGTCACTGTTAGTGCGGTATACACATAGCGGGCCAAGTACTCAGCCATCGTCGCAGTCCACACATTATGTGGTCGGTGCAAATTCAAACAAAACAAACAGCCTCACTCGACGATCGGCGTCCAGACCAGGCGAAGCGTGCAAGCGCTAGCAGTAGCAGTGCGTGTCAAGCGAAGCCGGGCCGGGTGCAGCAGCGCAACACCCACCCTCACACCGCCCGCGGCGCATGCCAGAGGCGCAGGCCACATGCCATCGGCCGGCCCAGAGAAGCGCGCGGCTCGCGGCGGGCGGAGTCAGACACAGACAGACGGGCAGACAGACAGACAGATAGACAGGCAGACAGACAGACGCACAGACGGACGGAGAGAGATAGATAGAGGTGCCGTGCGAGCCGGTTACCGTGTGAGCCGTGACCGAGGTGCCGGTGCTGCCGCCGCGGGCGACTGCGCTTACTTGGCGTGGCGCGGAACCGACCCTGGTAGGTGGCGCGCGCCGGCTTGGGCGGCGGCGCCGGCTGCTCGGCGGCCGCCGGCTCGCCGCCCAGCAGGTGGCTGAGGTCGCGCAGGTTCTCGTAGTCGCGGCCCACCACTGCCGACACGCTCGGTCCGTCACTAAGCAGCGCACATCGCTATGGGCTACTGCACATGTGGGGAGGAGGCTACTACGCAGAGGTACGTACGCCAAGCGTCTGTGTTGAGTTGTGGACAACGACGAGAATCAAGGCTGAAATGGCCAGCTGAAGAGCTGCCTGTACCAGCTGACGGTAACAGGCCACGCACATGCACGAGCCGATACGCTACTACGGAGCACTCGTAGCACAAATGGCCTGTGCGGGGGGCACGTTGGTCATACCGATACCAAGCCATGCAAGAGCGATACGCAAACAGAACATACGCGTTGGCGGCTATTGTGAGTGGAAGGCGTGCCTCTGGGGAGAGAGGTGACGCAGTATGGATAGCCTGACGAAGCTACCGGAGTGGCGAAAGTGGGACAAACATGGGACGTAATGATAACTACTTTTGACACCATCGCTTTGCACCGAGCATAATCTCCAACGTGGCATGCGGAATTTTGATAATTTTAGTTTCGCCTTCCACGCCACTCAAACACTACGACTCATCGTTCAGCAGTGTAAAATCACAAACATGATCGTGTTTACGGATATATGCGTTTATAAAGAATACTCGTACCGGCCTTCCTTCATTTTCTATCCACGACCCAAATGTACCAACACTGTCATGCTGTATGAAACATAAAAGGGCACGACGCCGGAAAAAAACTACTGTCTGTAGGTATACGTAGAATGATGGGTGCACTGCCAGCAAGAGGAGGCGTGCCCCTGTGAACTGTATGAGTGTGCACCTGTGAAGTGAAGCCTGTATGCGAGAGGAGGCGGTATGCCTGTGGGAGGGCGGGTGGCCTGCCCGTGGGAGTCAGCTCGCCGCGCGCTCACCCGAGTGACGCTGACGGGCCGCCTGCTGCAGCGGCGACACGGCTGGCTGGCTGACGCGGCTGGGGTCGGCCACGCTCCGGCGCTGCCAGACGCGCAGCGCCGCCGGGCCGCGCCAGGCGGCCGCCGCTCGGCGCGCCGGCAGCGGCGGCGCCTGCGCCCGCTCCACCTGCTCCACGGCCACGCCCAGCAGCCGGGCCGCCTTCAGCGCGATCGGCTGGCCGGCGAACGGTCGCTAGCGACGCGTCCGAGTCGATCGACTGTGAGCGCGAGCGGGTGGCCGCCGGTAGCGCGCCCTCGTCGCTGGCGTGACTCAGGCCGGACGAGAAGGCGGCGTAGTCGGCGGCGGCAGGCGCCGGCTGCTCCTGCTCCTCGCGGCGGCGGCGCTGCTCCTTCTTGTCGCGGCGGCGCTCCTTGAGCCGCTTGACGGAGCGCGAGAGCGAGTCGTCGCGCAGCTGGTGACGGCGGATGGAGCCGGCCGGCCGGCCGCGGCCGTCCACGCTGTCCGTCGAGCCGGCGGTGGCCTGAGAAAGGCGCGAGCCGGGCCGGGAGGCCGGCAGGTGAAGCGCCTCGACCGAACGCTGCGGGATGAGGCGCGTCACCGGGCCGGCCGCGCCGAACACCGTCTCCAGGCAGGTGTCGGCCGGCCGGCCGTGCTCGGACGCCACGCTCGAGCCCACGGCCGAGTCGGACGGCGAGCCAGTCGCCGGCGGCAGCGCGCCCGAGCCGCCGCTGGCGTCGGCCGGCCGCAGCCGCGCCGCCGGCGTGTCCAGCTCGCTGGCGGACGCCAGCGAGAGGCAGCTGGCGCGCGGCCCGCCGCCCGCCGCCAGCCCGGGGGAGAACACCGGCGAGTAGAAACTCGACGTGGCAGACGAGGAGAGCGCCTCGGCCGGCGGCAGGCTCGACGCCGAGTACCGGCAGTCGCGCGGCTCGGGGCAAGACGCGTCCAATGGTCGGCCGCCAGACTGCGTGCTGGACACGGACATGTTGTGACGTCGGCGCTGCGCACGGGACGCGGCGGTCTGGTCCAGGCCGGACTGCAGGCTCGGCGGCAGGTACCCGCTCGTCTGCGCGTCCCGTGGCGACGGGACAGCGCTGGAGTGGAGACTGGACGCCGAGGACAGCCGGCGCCGCGAGGAGTCGATGCTTGACGCCGACACCTGGTGGCCATCCGACAGTGGGCTCGAAGTAGACGGCGCGCGGTCGAAGGGCTGAGCTCGCGACGCGTACACGGACTGGTATCCCCGCCGGCAGCACGGTGGGAGTGGACGGATTGTAGCCACCGGTCTGCGGACTGCATCCCGTCGGCGGCGCACAGCCGACGCTGGGACGGTTCGCCGCCGGTACGTATCTCCCGGGCTGAAGGCTGGACGTCGACACGTACCTGGCCGGCTGCAGGCTGGAGGTGGAGGGGAAGAAGCCAGCGCTGTGAAGACTGCTTGTGGACGGCCCGTGACCCACGGGGTGAATACTGGACATGGACGGAATATACGCTGACGGGTGCACGCTGGGGGCGGAGGGGCCGGCCGCGGCGCCCGCCCGGCTCGCCCCGAACTGACCGTAGCCGGTCGGCCGCAGCGCTGGCGCCGACTGCCGCAGTCCCGGCGGCCCGCCGGCGGCCGCCGCCTCCACCGGCGGCCGGAACACCGCCTGGCAGAAGCGGTCGGCCGCCCCGGTCGGCTCCGCCGCTGCCTGCGCGTCGTTCTCCTTGCCGTCAGCGATGGCGCGCAGGAAGCTGGCGGCGCGCGCGCGGCGCGGCGGCGGCTCGTCGTCCTCGGCCGGGTCGTCGCCGGCCGCGCCGCCCACCCCCAGCCGCATGAGGCGTGAGCGCAGCTGGGCTACGCTCTGGCGCGCCGGCGTGACGGGCGCCGGCGGCGCAAACAGCGAGTCCTCCTTGAAATCGCGGTAACCGCCGTCGCCGCGACGCAGCGCCGTCAATGGCGTGAGGACAGGCTGGCGCGGCGTGGAGGCCTCCGCCGTCGGCGACATGAGCAGCAGCAGGTTCTCCACGGAGCCGGGCGCGCGCGCTGTCGGCTGCCGCTGTCGCAGGCGTCGGTCCGCGTCCTCGGCGCGCAGGAAGGCGGCGACCAGCGGATCGTACAGGTCGTACGGCACCAGCGGGAACGGCAGCGCGGCGAAGTAGTCGCGGATGACGCAGAACACGTCCAGCTGGAAGTCGGCGTAGTCGCTCTCCGGCAAGTCGGCCAGCTGGTACTGCGGCCCTGGTGGACGCACGGACCGACTTCAGACCGACGGGCGGGCATCGCACGACCCGGGCGGTGCGTGCCGACCCCTGAGGGTCTCAGGGGACTGCCAGGAGGCTCGGCCCACGCGTCACCGCAGACTGCACGCCGGACACGTTCAGTCCCGCGCAGCATATCCTGAACAGTCGGAACGTCGGCATCATCTACTTCGTCGCACCAAAAAGGCCGTAAATTTATCAACAACGGTCAGGTAAACGCGGCAAACGCGTAGGGGATAACACTTTACTAACTATATATAACTAGGGTAGGGGATAACACTTTACGCAGGGAATAGCACACGAACTAATTTGTCTCTCACTCAAGGAATGCCTGTTGCGTCAATCGCTAAATCTATCAATACGAACGGTCCAGTTCGCGGAGGTACCTGCTCCAAACTTGCTCGAGGAATACATGACGCGATTAGCGTTGCAATGACAGGCAATATCTCTCCGTCTCTCTTGTTGTGTAGCTTTTACACTGCCTTTTCCCCAGTGGCCACACACAGCTTGGAAGCTTGCCCAGTCCTCCGCTCCCACACTCCACTCCGGCGGCGCACTGCCTCCTCGGCGCATGCCGCCACGGCTCCCAGCGCGGCACGCCGGCCGTCCAGCGCACACGGTACTCACAGTTGGCGAGTGACTTCATGGCGAGCAGGAGCCAGCGGGGCAGCGCCGGCTGTCCGGGCTGCAGGGGCTGCACCAGGCCGCGCTGCGTCACGCGGACCGTGTTGTGTCGGATCCAGGCGGGCACCACGCAGCTGACTGGCACGATGTCGATGACGGGCGCCTCGAGCAGCGTCTCCAGACTGCAAGCGGCCGGCGGCCGGCGGTCAGCGGCGCTGGCCGGCCCGGCGGCGCCCGCCGCAGCGCAAGCTCGCTCGCCACATGCCCACCCTGCGAAGCGGCGCCCGACCCCGGCAGGCTGGAAGGACGCCAACGAAGCCATGGCAGCAGTTGTCTGTTAAAGTAGCCTTGTCCCGCACTGCTCGCCAGCCGGTTTGTGGCACTGCAGCTGGTACCGGCGAGGGCGACTCCCAGATGTTCAGAGAGCGGCACCCTGACACCGCTCTCCCGGTCATGCCCCTCACCCTCCGTCAGGGCGCTTACCTTGCCTCGCACCAGCGTCCGGCCGCTCACCCGGCCCGGGTGTGTCGGCCGCTGGTCTGCGTCGTCGGACCGCCCGTCATGCCCGGGACCCCGTGGCTGACGTATGCGGCGCACCCCTCGCCACGTCCTCGTCTCATGCCGGGCCCTGACCTCGCCCTGGGCCTGAGTCGGGCCACTCACCGTGCTAGCAGTGTGCGGCTCCAGACGGCGTCGACCTCAGCGGCGTTAAGTGCCCGCATCACGGGTCGACACTCGGGGAGCGGCGGCTGCTGCTGCTGCTGCTGCTGCTGCTGCGCCTGCTGCTGTGGCGGCGGCCGCTGCTGCTGCTGCTGCTGCTCCTGCAGCGGCGGCGGCTGCCGGCTGGCGGGCCGCCGGCGCAGCTCCGGGCTGCCTCCTCCTCCGCCGGCGGCGCCGGCCATGGCCGCCGGCTCGGTGGCGTTGCCGTTGATCAGGGTCAGCGCCGAACGGCCGGGCGTGCCGTGCGCGCTTAGTCTGCCGGCAGTCGCGCACCATCAGCTGACAATCGCACTCAGCTGACGGCGACCGCGCGCCATCAGCTGACAACCGCACTCAGCTGACGGCGGCCGCACGCCATCAGCTGACAGCGGCGCTCGCACGAACGGCCCGGTGACCAGGACAGGCGCGCTTGAGGTGCCGCAGCATCAATGCACAATTGCTGACTTGCAGAAAGAGTCGGCTTTGAAACAGAAATTATGAAGACGCCGAAGTAAAGGAGAGCAGAGTAAGGACACGGTGGTGCTGGGGGGGGGGGGGGGGGGGGGGGAGAGATGGAGGAGGAAGGGCGGTACGTTCCAGTCCCAGGCAGGCCGCCACAGCCAGTGCGACGCGTCCCGTTCGCCGCTCGCCACCCACCTGTAGAGCCGGTTGTCGTCGCGGAACTCGGCCGGGCCGCCGCGGCGGCCGCGCACCTCCACCACGATGCCGGCCTGCACGAACTTGGCGAGCAGGCGGACCGTCTGCTGGCGGCTGACGTCGGCCGAGAAGAGCGCGTGGCCGCTGAGAAAGCGCTGCAGCCAGGTGACGGCGGCCGCCGCCGTGAAGCAGCGCTCGTAGCAGCGCAGCTGGCGCCAGTGGCGCTGCTGCTGCATGCCCTCGCGGAAGCCGCGCACCGCCTCCCGCCACTGCCGGTAGGGGGAGCCGCTGTCACCGCCGTTAGGGGGCGCTGCTGTCAGCGATATGTCAGGGGGCGCCGCTGTCACCGCTATACCGGGGGGACTCCGCTGTCACCGCTATACCAAAGGGCGTCACTGTCACCGCTATACCAGGGGACGACGCTGTCACCATTATACCACGGGACGCCGTTATCACCGCTGTTTGGGGCCGCCCCTGTCACCACTATGCCAGGGGCGCCGCTGTCACCGATATGCTGGGTCACCTCACTTCAATTGCCAGCTGTAAATTACAACAATGATGCGTATGAGCTGAGTGCCCCTTTAGTCCATCGACAGAATGTGAGGCACCGGCTCAACAACTGCCAGAATGTTGAAGGATGACATGAGGGGGCAAGGAATATTCTCAACAATGAAAAGACAGACAACCTTCACTCACCAACATCGTTGCTTTGTATGGTCCATCCGCTTCTTTGCTTTCCAGCTGATCTGTATCCATTTTGAGTTGCCTGAAACAAGAGGCATCTCTTCTAAGCAGGTCCTACTAATGCAAACCAAGCTTGACAGCAGTGCCATAACCATTTGTGCCTAGCCCAGTCCTGTCACTTGAAGAAAAAATGTGTAAAACTGTTTTTGCAGCAGATGCATCATCAGCACAAAAATGGTACTACTGGCATCATATCCTAGCATAAATATAACATCAATGGCATCATGTTTTTCACCTTGACCAGCCACACAGTGTGAACAAATGGAAACCATATGCATTGATTTTTTAATGAATCAGAAACTGTAATAGTCAGAAAAATCATCCATGATTAACAGCCATACCTTTTCAGAAGCAGCAAGTAACTGGCATGCATGAGTAAAGAACAACAGGTGTTATCTGTATGCACACTATCTATAAAGACAAAAATGCACATGTGGCATGTGGCATTTTGTTACACACCCCATTTTTGTAGGCTACATTTACATGGAAAATGTCATCTTTTGATGTGATGACTACCCTTTGCACATACAAAATCTTGACAGCTTGATCATGCCTCTTTGTCACCTGACAGTATTTCACTAATGCACAGCATGTCTGTGCAGCTCAGTCTACTGGAGGCGTCATTTTTAGGTTGATGAAAATTATTCCAGTGCCTCAAATGGTGACACTCATGGCCGGGATTGCTTGGGCAGAGATTGGGGTGAACTCCACTGCTATCAGATGTCACATTTGGTCAGCCATGAAAATTGCACAAACTGCAGGCAGACTCTCACCAATCAGAGGACTGCTGGTCAGATTTGTCAATCACTAGAATTCATTCACCACACCTTCCAATGCGGGCTTGACAGCCACTGGGAAATAGACATACAATACAGGCATAGTGGCCTTTAAAATTTTTACCAATCATAGGGAGGTAGATAACATGATTGCCTCTCAAGTGGAGTATATGAATGTCCTTTCCCTGCATCACATACTGTCTGCAAGAGGTGTCTAGAAGCCCAGTTTTGCCATCATTCAGCCATCCAAAGCCAAGAAGGCCCAAGTGACATCAGGTAAAATAGCACTTAAGCCTTTTTGCCTTTTGGTAGATGTGCTGACATCAATGGTTTTGGAAGCTGGGCATGTGCATAAGAAATGGCCTATCAAAGATCAATGCCACAAGCACTGCTCCTAGCCCTTGCCCTCATTGTTTGCAGATTAGTTAAGCCTGAATGAGGGGCTGATGAGAACAATGATCTGACAAAACAGCCATTGTGTGTGAAGGTTAACTATCAGCTTGGAAATATTTCAATTTCACAATTTAGCATGTTCTCCATCACAACACGACAATTTTCTCAGACTCTCTAACACTCATTTTTTAATAAAATGTTGGATGAATTAATGAGCCCGCCACATGTATACAGGGCTTTGATCGTATGTATGCGCCATGTTTGCCATAAAACATTAAAACTTCCCCACATGCTAAATGATGAGGACAACTGGAGCAAAGACATATCTTGTGAAAAGACAGTGACAAAGATGCTGTACTCACCTATTTAGTAGGGTTGAGCAGGCAAGTGCAAATGAAAAGTTCCTGTTACTTCATGACCGTCATTTTCAAACCTGCGCGAATTAGCCGTCAACACGGGATCCGGGCAACCTTGAATGCTGATTGGAGGAAACCGTTCCGGCTCGTCACGTGCTCCTGTACAGATGTCACGTGGTACAGAACAAACTCAATATTTGACGCAACTGATCCGAGGAGTGGCTGCAGGCGGGTACACTCGTATTGGTGTTTTGGGCTCGGCTTGGGGCATTGAAATGCCTGTGCTGGTTTACGCTGTTCCGTGCGAGACTCTACGGTGTGCGTTTACGTCTTTGATGGGTAGAGGCGGACCGGCCACATTGCTTTGGGTTTACTGGTGGCCTGTTGATGAATTATAAATGTGTCACGATGTTAATGACATTCGCGCGCAAGTCAAAATGTAGCTGTCTAGCTTCTTTAGTTAAGGAAACACCAACAATATTAAAAAAGAGTGAAATTTGTCGTTCACCCTTGATTATTGTGTATTCTTGCCCTGTGTCACTGAGTGTTCAGCATTACAGTTGCACCAAAAGCTCCTTGCTCACATCCCAAGTCTCGCCTATTATAGTTGTGTTTTTGTGCTGGTTTTGTTGGGTTTGGAAAGGGGTTTGGTAATCACTTCAAGTAGCCATTGTTTCTCTGATTGATAGTCATGGCATATTCCCTAATGATGAGCACCACTTGCAGCCAAAGTTAGCACTGCAATTAAATTTATTAGACATAGGCTGTGGGTGAAGATGTCAGCTGACATTAGGGAAGTTATGTAACACAGATATATGCATTAGTTGATATTGAAGAAGTGTGAATGATTTCCAATTTTTAAAAAATCACCAAAAGCTTAATGCAATATTCAGGGTTCCATATCCATAACAAGGATGAGGGGCCTGCATTTCATGTGGCATGTGCTATACAAATGTCAGCATTTCATAAGCCTCCCAGAAATTTTGGCCTCAAGTGGATTTATCAGGTGGCAGCAGTTAAATTGGCATTCCTATATGCTGTCACTATTATATTACATTATTTTTTGGCAGGTCCATATGTCTATGTTTGCATCAGCTTATACATCCACTGGTCCTTTGGCGCCACTGTAATCTGGAGGGTAGTGCCAGACAAGGCTATAAATTGCACTGTTTGGTGAAAAATTTGCAATAATTATGATAACTGAACACTGACCAAGAGGGGTGCAGCCAAGATTTTCTTAAGGGAGAGGCATAATTCTTGGTCAGTAGGCATCACAGCAATTTGGGGATGGGATCAGGGCACTTCCCCCTTCCTGTTCAGACCCCATTAGCTGCTCTCGTGGTGGCCATGGGAGAACTAGATTATTTGTGACATAAAATTAATTGACTTTTAATAATTCAAATAAAATGGTAATTGACATACAAAGCAGCCTGTATTGTTGGTTGGCACCAATGTTAGATTGGCACCAGTGATAAGATGAAGCTTCCCATTCTGTACTAGGCACATTGTGGGTGTAACTGGTACTTGCCATCTGGGCATATGTTAACATCTGTTGTGTGGAATGTACTATGCTATTGGCTGTTAGAACCCCATTTGGGTAGGTCAAAAAGTTTCTGAGACTTCACCAGGTGTGAGTTAAAAATCAGCTTAAAGAGATCAGCATTGAGACGTGATGCCTGGTAGGATAGTTTTAGGCATCCATGCCTAAATAGTCATGCTCAAATCATGCTCAAATCATCATGCTTGCTCAAATAATTCTATATGTGTGAGTTCTCCAGAATATGTTCAGTTGTGTGGCATTGTCATACTGGTGTCCTGCTCTACAATGACAATTAGCGATGGCATTGAAGTTCTTCATTTTTGTTTTTGTTTTAAGCAGGAGTCATGATTCAAAATATGCAGGCATGATCCCCACTGGCAAATGTCATGCTTCAAACATTGGCAATATCACTTAATTAAACCATTTGTCATTGCATCACTATACATGTACTTCCTCCTGCTGAAGCAAAGTAAATTTATATTGGCATGCTAGTTGCCAACACAAAGAGTGTTGCTGAACAAACACTATTCCTGCTTCTTTAAAAGTGATGCTGTGGTGTGATATTTACTGTTGCATTATTTATTTCAGACTTCACAGGAAAACTGCACAGAGACATCCTGACACCAATAGATTGTCAGCAGTACCTTGTCAAGACCTATGATATCATAGCCTCCAGGAGGTAACTGGTATGTGAATCAGAAAATCTTGTTGACTGACAGAAGTGACTATTTGACATTTTCTGAGGCATGGTGCTCCCCAGGAAATATGCACCTATGATGCATTGTCAGCAGATGACATATCCAGGTGATCCTGCTTGTGAAGCACCCTGCCAAGATTGGTGACCTGATGGAGCACCCTGTCTGTGATGATGCAGTACCAGCTGCTTCAGCTGGCCGGGTTCCAGTGGACATTGGACGCGTGTCCGTGCTGGAGACAGTCATCCACTGGTTTGGCTGGACCTTTGGCTGTCTATACTCAACCTACAGACTGTACCGAGTCATCAAAGATCACCCTGACGAACTGGACAGCTACAGCACCCCGGGCTGGATTGGCGGCCTGTACGTCGACCGATTCGACGACGAATTCGAGGTTTTGATCAAAGGTCAGCTGCCGACGTACGCAGCCTTCATGACCATTCACCTGGTGGTGGGACACTTCCTACGAGGCCTGGCCATGTTCAAAATACTGCCGCTCTTCCACTTCCTCCTGTCGGCGTGCTACATATGCTTCTCGGCGGGCGCTCGTCGCTTCTTGGTGCTGCTGGGCACGGCGCTGCTGTTCTACGCCGTGTCGCGGGCGCGCAGCCGGCTGCTGTGCTGGCTGCTGGTGCTGGCCGCGCTCCTGACGCACGGCCGCCTGCTGCTGGCCGTCGTCGGCGCCGACGCCACGCCCGACGCCGAGAACCGCTCCTACCTGGCGACGGCCGTGCAGATGTGGGGACTGTGCCGGGCCGTCATGTTCTGCTGCGACCAGGTGGAGCGGCCGGTCGCCATTGCGCACCACGACAACCTGGTCACCTACCTGGGCTTCGTGTTCTACGGGCCGGTGCTGGTGGGGCCGCTGCTGGCGCACGCCGATTACCTGGCGGCGCTGTCGCCGGCGGCCGCCGTCGGGCCGGGCTGGACGCGCCTGCGTCGCCTCGGCGCCGGCCTGCTGCGCCTCACCGGCTGGCTGCTGGTCATCGAGCTCTCCAACCACCTGATCCACTACCACGCGCTGGTCTACTCGCCCGACGACGTACAGCGCCTATTCGGCCGCTGGGAGATAGCGGGCCTGAACTATTGGGCCGGCCAGCTGTTCCACGTCAAGTACGTGTTCTGCTACGGCGTGCCGTGCGCGCTGGCCGCCTTCGAGGGCGTGCGGACGCCGCTGCCGCCGCGCTGCGTCTCCTGGATCGCCAGCTACTCGGACATGTGGAAGTACTTCGACCACGGCCTGTACCTGTTCATGCAGCGCCACATCCACGGGCCGTTGTGCGGTGCGCGGCCGTCACCACTGCGGCGCATGCTCGCCTCGGCCGTCGTGTTCGCGTTCGTGTTCGCCTGGCACGGCCTGATGCCGCACATCCTGCTCTGGGCGGCGACCAACTTCGTGTGCGTGACGCTGGAGCGGCTGGGCGCTCGGCTGGCGGCCAGCCGGCGCGGCCTTGAGTGGCGGCGCGTGGTGGGCGCCGCGTTGCGCCGCCGCTGCCACGCCCTGCTCGCGGCGCCGCTCTTCCTCGTCTCGCTCGTCTCGCAGGTCGGCTTCATAACCAACAGCGGCGAGCTCGGTTGGCTGGCCATGGTCGAGGGGCTGGCGCCGGCCAGCTCGGCCGACATGCTCGTCACGCTCGGCTTCCTCTACTGCGGCGTGCAGGTGTCGTATGACGTGAAGCGCTGGCGCCAGCTGCGCGCCCGACTGCCACGCCAGCAGGACAAGCTGAAGGAGGCGTGAGCGTCACCAACGCGCGACCGAGACGTAATTGGGTCGCGCGTGCGTGGAGGGGTCGTCGCCGCGCCAGCCCAGCCTCGGCCCCAGAGAGACGCGGACCCCGCCGCGAGGCCCGGCCGGGCGACCTCGAGCCGCGCTGGCCGCTGACCGAGCGGGGGGCTATGTGATGTGGGCTTAGGAATGGTCTCTTCCGAACGCCAGCACAAACTACAGTGATTTTTGTGTGGCTTGTTATGTTTGCTGCGTATGGACAGATTGAGTCGTACTCATGGTCAACGTTGTAGAACATTCATCCGTTCTCATCCGATGTTCTTATGGCTCTTTCAGAAGCCTGATACAAAGTTGTCCGGTGCTTTTAGACGCCTAATACAAAGTTGGTTACTTTGTTATAATTCCCGTGTTTTATTATGCAGGAGGCTGCCTGAGCCACAAGTTGGTCCATGCTTTTGTCTGGTATCCCGACAAGCTAACAGCCGCTGAGGTCCGCTAGTGGCAGTCTGCTGCCGACTTGAGACAACCGTCGCCCACAGCAGCTTATCTTGCATGACTTTGGTCCTGAAATAGCGTCTGATAGGGTGGTCTGGCGCCGCACCATCCGTTCTGTGGGCTCTCCGTTTCCTTGGAGCGCGACCGGTGGCACAGTCAGGAGCTGTTGACTCACGCATTGGTTAGACGGCTGGTCCTTCCGACGGAAGCGCGTCCCGATGTAAATGGTATGGATCTGGTTGGCACACCGCCGACTCAGTTTTTTCTTCTCTGTTTTGTCACTTTCAGAGTTTGGTATTATTTGGCACCGTGTTTAGTTTGATTTTTCCTGCAATTGAAATGCATAGGCTTTCAGAAACAACTGGCTGTGAAGTATTGAATAGTAACATATAATTGGAGATGGAATCCCATCGGATATATTCCCCTAGATGTTTATAACAATGAAATGCGTCTCACCATGTCAAAATAATGAACACAGCTGCCATGTTGTCTTTAAGTGACCTCATGCTACAAAGGTCAAATCCCTAACATGATTGTTGGGATCAGGTATGCGGAATTTAACGCCGTTAGTTCCAATGATCCCCCTAAAACACAAACTGAGGCTTGTATTCATGGTCCCTGAGGCTGCCTATAACGTCCGTTCTCCCATCACATGAGTCCGAATACCAGATATTCGTTTGAAAGCCCGCGGTAGACCAGCCTGCACGGGTGCCGCGCCCCCCGCTGCAGAGGCGCTGCAGCGGCGTCCAGTGACGGCGCGTGTGTGCCTGTAGGCGGTGCCATGGAGCCGGAGTCGAGCCGGTTGTACTTCAGCTCGCCGGGCGGAGCCCTGCGGACCTGCGCTGTCCGCCAGTCGACCCTGGCCGACCGATTCTCGGCGGTCGGGTCCCGGCCAGCCGGTGGGTACCGCCCCCCAGGACGCCGGTCCTCGGGGATCAGCGTCGTGCAGCCTTATTCAAATATGTTGCTCAACAGATCGCTGGGCTCACGCCAGATAATAGGGACCTACTGGTCAGGAGCCGAGTGCTTACTGCAGGCACGATTCACGTGCTCTGAACTTATCCTCTTAATTGGGAAGTACTGGGACCCACGATAGAGGAAGTCTGAGGACAAAGATTAACGGTGTACTATCCGACGGCCAGCAGGAAGGCATGCGTGACTTACGGATTGTATAGGGTTGGGTGCGAGGTGCATTTTAGTTGAAATTTGGAAAAATGACCTCAGCAATTAGATATCGCGGGACGTCCTCACCACTCACGAGTAGCTGCAGTTTCTGTTTTGTCTGTGCCGCACCCACTCGTCCCACAAAGACCGTCGGGCCGTTCCATGCTCGTACTGGAGAAGGCAAGGAGCTACGCCTCTGTCCACTTCGTCGAGTGTCATTGGGTCTCACGAGCCGCTACGGTCGTGGTCGTGACTGACGTCACCACTGGAAGGACCGCTCAGCGGCCACCCCCTGACGTCACTGTGTGACGGCAGGCCCTGCGCCGGAGAACCGTGGCGACAGCCCGCCACCGTTGGGCGAGGACGCCGGTCAGGTGGCGTCGCTGTTCGAGCTGTGTCTGCGGCTGGCGGCTGGCTGGCTGCACCGGCTGGAGAGCCTGCTCGGCTTCCCAGAGCTGGTGGGCGAGCAGCTGGTGCGGCGCGCCGCCCGGCTCGGCCTGTTCGACCAGCCCGGGGAGCGCTGCACGCGGGCCCTACACGTGGCCGTCGCCGCCTACCCAGACGAGGTACACGACCGCGGCGCGACCTTCGCGGCTAACCATCCCGGACATGATTTTAGCTAGACAACCACAGATAACAATACAAAATGGAAATAAACCGGGAAAAGATTTGACAGTGGCAGCTATATTGCGCGGCCCAAGGTACGCGACGCCCACGCCTCGGGCGAGGTGCACTGTCTTCTAGTGATGCGGCTTTCGGTCCAAAAGAACACGGGCCCTGTGCATACCCCTCACAAAAAGCACAAAAGTGCAGAGCCCCACAAAAAGTACGGCTCTGGGCCGAGGTTGGCCACCGGCGTGGAGGTCAACGAGGTCACTCCCGGCTAGCCCGTTCTGCACACGCCATGCCCACACTCGCCAGGTGCTGCTCACTCTCACCGGCCGAGTCTGCGTATCTGTGACCTGAGTCTGTCTTGACTCTGTGACTCTGAGACATTCTTGCCCGTCCGTTTCTCGGCTACGCCTTGCCTTCCGTCAGGTGCTGCCGAGTCTGCGCATCTGTGACCTGCTGACGCTGGGCGAGTTCGAAGAGCCGGTGGAGGTGCTCTGGGCCGGCCTGCTGCGGCTGGACCTGTCCGGCTGCCGGCTGGGGGACCGTCACCCCGCCCTCAGCCAGATCGCCGCGCTGAGCAGGTCTGTACACCAGCCGGCTGGGACCAATATTAGCGTGTGGGGGAGGGGGGACTCGCAAAGATCAGCAGTCGTTTCGGACGCAGAGAAATCTGATGCGTGCAGGTGCAGGGCTATGACGCGATACTGTCTTTAAGATGCTGCATTTGCGAACTGTGTATCCTGTGAGACGATGCTTATACAGCAAGAACCGCAGAGATGATTTACTCAGATCAGTAGGATGAAGTTGCGAAGTCTGGGTGTTAACTACAAGCAGGTGGTCGCGGACATTGTTTGTGTGAACTTCATCCGGTTTGTAGCCACCACCCAACTTTTATGTAATTTCTTCTTCGTACATTTTGCCACTATTGCCAGTTGGTGTTACGAATGCATCAGTTTTCGTCATGTTTCTGGCCGGCAGTGGCGCAGCCAAGAGCGGGGGATGCTTATGGGGATTTAGCTCCTTTCCCCTTCAGGTTCGAGTGCAGTGTTTCACCGCGATGCTTCTGAATGTATAATTCCGAAATCTGATGATCAGGGAAACTAAGTTAGTTTTAAATATCGCAGAAACTTGCATGGGCAGCGACCTGTAGAGCTCATCAGTCGTAATTTGGTAACAAGACCAGCGAACAGCCTAGTGAATATGTCCGGCACGCGGCTGAAACAACCGTTTAAGGCATCATGGAGCACACCAACATAGATGGCTCACTGACACGCTAGTTGTTTGTGGAGTCTGCTAGTCTCTTTGCAGTACGTAGTTACTATCAATGTGTCTGGAACTCGTCCGTAAACATTCTCCCCCTCCCCCATCGCAAATCACGGTAGCCCCTCCCGTTGCAAATTCTGGCTGCTCCCCTGCCAGCCGACAGCACTAAGTCAGCTTTGTGTCTCGTCGTGGCCGTGCATCGCACCTCTTGATGTGCGGTAAGCACGCTGCGTCAGAGGGCTGGTGTATTTCGGGTAGGAGTTGCCCCATTGGCGTGCTCATTCAGCAGCATTGACTCATCGGGTGGACTTGATTTATGTGACCTTCATGTGGCCTGCACTGTGATGAGCCGTGATGAGCTGCTTAACCTGCCTATGACCGGGCGGATGTAGCTGCCTAACCTGCCTTGACCGGCGGCTGTGCGCGCCCCGTTTGGGTCAGACTGACGCACCTGTACCTGCGCGGCTGCGCGCTGACGGATATCGGAGTGAGGACGCTGACTCTGCCGGCTCGCATGTCTGGCGTGGGCCTGACCTCGCTGCAATGCGTGGATCTGCGAGGTAAGGGGCCCGCTCCTGCCTGCACGTCCGGGCCGGGCCGCCGTCCCGCCCGCCCACTGACCTCAGCAGCGGCGCGGGGGGCGTGCTGGGGCGGCGCCGGCCAGGCAGCCGGTTACGGCTGTGATGGCATACTGGTCATTGGGGCAGCGAAGGGTCAAGGGTGCCGTGACATACTTGTCATAGGGGTAGCGACCTTACTTGTCATATGTGCGGTGACCATGAGTCGTTTACTACGTTGCTTAACGGCTAATGGACTGCGACCACCTACAGACCGTTAACGGAACACTTCTAGTACTGACAGACTCTGGTGTCTTCCAGTCTGAGCCAGTTTGGAGCGTTTTCCACCCATGATCTGTTTGCCTCATTCCGCACCATGTCACGGTTATGTATGATAGTGCAGCAGTGTGGTGCAGTGCAGTGCAGTGCACTGCCGTGCCATGCCGTGTCGTGTCGTGCCGTGCTGTGCCGTGCCGTGCAGTGTACTGCAGGTGACTTGTGTGTTGTCGCCAGGTAACCAGCTCGGGTCGAGGTCGCTCCTGGCTCTATGCAGACTACAGCCGGGCCAGATAGCAGCCACAGCCCCGCTCAGTGTGAGTTGCGCTCAGCGGTTCGGGTGTCCCGACCTGTCCAACTGAGCTTTGTGTACCTGTCGCCAGTGGGTTGCCTCTTTGTCCGTTGCCAGTTGCTCTGTCTCTATGCTTGAAGCACCAGTTGGTGACAAAATCGCCGGATCAGGCGTATTGTTTTAGCATAAACATTTCGTGGGTGGGTCTCTCGCCAACTGATTGGTCCAGACCAATATCACAAAACTAGCCCAGCTGATGTGTGCGGGATATAAGCCACGCGGGGTGTCGCCAGCTGTCTTCATTGCCGCCATGCGTACCATGGTGTGGCCGGCTGTCCCCACTGCCGCCGTGGGCCCATGGCGACCAGGCGACAGAGCGTCTGATGATGGAAACGCGACAGATGCCCGCGGATCTCGCGTGGCAGGTCTACTGTGACATGGTCTGCCCCGGGCAGACTAAGGGCCTCATTTCAGGAACGTTGCAGGCCTCATAACCCCGGGCTTGTCAACATTGAGTTACATCATGTGAGGCAGGTTCATATCTTTGTGTACTCACCGATATGTATCGTATGTGGTACATGGAATGCCAAGCGCGTACTCGCAACAGCGCAGTTTGTGGCTGTCTCTGTGTTTCAATGTCATTCGGTTGCTGAGTGGTAAGTGAAATCCCCATTCTACTAGCCGCTGCCGTTATTTCAGGAGGATATTCGAGCGAACGTCGAAACGAAAGGCTACCAAGTGGTGGCGCCACTGGCGTTCAGACCAGTCGCCACTGAGGGCTGGCTGAGCGAAGTTGTCGAGAGTGCGTGGAGCTCCTGCCACCGGCCCGCCAAGCGGCCCAGAAACGATGGCTCGTCAGCTGCCGCGCGCTTCTGTAAGGACAGACACTGATCACGTAACCACTCAAACAGCCACATCCGGAGCCATGCTGTCATGCGTGTTTTCGGGCGACGGGTTCTCTCCTGCTCTGACCGCATTTCCGCAGGATTAAGGCCGGACGGCCAGGTCCAGACTTGTCCCAGCACGTGCCACATCGCTTCAGAGGCTCACGCGACCGCTCTGTTCTATCTGCCTCGCACGATCAGCCAGTGCTCGATCATCGTCGACGCAGTTGGCGTCGTCCGTGCGACACGCAGAGGGACGGCGGCGGGCTCGTGCCCAGGACGTGGCAGCCCACCCATCTGGGTTCGCGCTCCGAGCTACAGTAGCCCCTGCGTGCGGCAGTGAGGCGACTGGCGAGGCGCACGGCCTCCGGCAGCGACACATGGATCCCACCCGTGTTTTGGCCGGCCGTGTTCAGTGCGATGCGTCTCTGGATGTTGTCCCGTTGTTTTGTGCGACTCGTGGCTGTTCGTTTTTCAGATGGCCAGCCGACAGTTCTCCCACGGGTGGAGCAGCGCCTGCAGCAGACGTTTCCGCCGCCCGTCTTCCTGCAGAGGTGCCGAGGTGAACCCTAGAGGTCAACACGTGATACTAAATGTGGACTGATGCGGGCTCCTGCGTAACGTACGAGGACTGAACATGATACATACATGACAATATTGGTCTCATCAGTACTGAACGGCTCATACTATTGTGCTTCCTTTGCATTTTTAGCTCGGGCAGGTGGCCTCTTATCTGTCCTGTGGCATAGTGTTACGTTTCAAATCGTGAAGGGCGTGTGTCACAGGAATACACAATACACATGAAGTGATTCGAGGATGAGTTTCCATACATGTTGCCTCCAGAGATCCACAGATATTCCAGCGCGGACGATATCACGTGAGCAGGTCGTAGCAATAGCTGAAGGGAAGGGGCTGACTGTGGCAATGCGCTCACGGTCCCAGCCAACACGCAGCCGGTACGTGGCAAATCAACAGCCCCCCCCCCCCCCCCTCATCCCAGCCAGTCCAAAACTGCCTTGAGACACCCAGTCCGCGCTGATGCAAAAGCAGCCCGCTGCAGTAGTTTCATCGTCCGGTTTTCCGTGAGTCGTCAAAGGTCACACGTCATTACCGGGAGAGATGAGGCTGGCCGGGCCGTGGCTAGCCGCAGAGGCTGGCCAGGTGGCGCCACCGTGCACGGACTCGGGGCGGCGAGTGCGGAGCTCGCTACCGCCAGCCGGCCAGCTGCCGCCAAATGCTTCAGCAGCCGGGGCGCCTTTTGAGGCAGGTACCTGCACCTGATACGCTAGGTAGTGGTATCCGCGCGGAATGCTAAGGGCTACCCACCAGCTATCGAAGGTGACGTCTGGACTGCCGCAATACTGTCGAGCCATGTGCGCGAGCCACAACATGACAGCGGCACGTCGTGGTATATAATAATAGAAGTGTAGACTGACTACAGGGAACACCTTCATGAAAAGGCCAGGTGCCTTCCAGAATGAAAACGCTCAGCCCGCATTGCGCGGCGGCTCCGCTGTGTGTCGGCGGGTAAACCTGGCGGCAGCCACGGCCGGTTTACTCGCATCCGCAACACGCTACGAAACCGGGCCGGCCTGGCGGCCCAAGCAGCCATGTGAGGCCGAGACACGCGTCACGTGCATGGAAGGTAAACACCAGCGGGAGGCTGGGCACCCACAGCATCGTCGCAGGTGCGCCACGGGCCCCCGCACGGGCGGGCTGCTGCGTCGGGACCACATGTGGCGCTTCTCCGGCAGATGGGAACGTTCAGCGCGGACATTGCGGCAGACGCGGCCAGCTTTTATGTCTGTGCGAGGCGGAAGGGCGCACGGAAAGCGTGTCGACTGAACCGTGCTCTGGTTGGATGCGTTGCATCAAGCATGTGTTGAGTGCCCGGAGAGTCTTCAGCTGCGAATAAAGCGACCTCTGACTTCCAACAGCAGTTGTGGTACGGCTCGTCAGTCAGCGCATCGAATGCCGTAGGAAGCTAACTGACCCACTGAAGACGGTGCAAAAGCTGCCAGCTTATCAGGGTGTAATACGTAGGACAAGGGCGTCTGATTGGGGTGGCGGGGGGGGAGGGGGGCAACGTTTAACATCAAGTCTATGACGGCGATAGGAAAGTAACGCCGTTAAAATCGTGTTTGCCCACTTCAACTTTGCATAACAATGCTGGTGATGAGTGACGATGAGTTGCAGGAGCCATTACATACAATGCTGATGCATAGAATGACATCCATATCCAGAGCAGCACATCCTTCCGATTCATAAGAGGGCCTCCAAATCCAGCAAAGCCTCGTCATCTCAAAGCAGGACATCCTGTTCTGGAACTGCGGCCATTTGATGCATGAAGTGGATCTTCTGTTCCAGGAAAGGGCCTCGTGGTACGCAAAGTGCTTCTTCATCAAGAACCAGCGCCTCCTGGTTCATAACGGGGGCGATCCCGAGCTAGCAAGGGCCTCGTTACAATAGCATTGGCTTCCTGATCTAGAGCATTGACCGCTTTATTTATCACGACGGTTCCATGATCTAGAAAGCGAGCACCTGTGCAGAAAATGGCGTTCTGTGCTCGTTTTGGTGCCGTCTAGTAGTCATGGAGCCTACGTTATCTAAATTTGTATCATCTATGTGAGCTACAAAGACTAAAGGTTAGACAAAGGCCTCTCAAAATGGTGAGGAGGCAAATACATGCCCTTGTTTCCCCCCCCCCCCCCCTCTTCATTCTTTCTATTCCACCCCCGCTCATCAGTCAGTTTTCAGTCTTAAATCAGTAGATAGAAAATGGGAAGAAAATGCAGTGTTGTGAAAGGAATTATCAGTAAAGTATACCAGAAAACATTTATGTGCTGACGTCATTAGATGCCGCCAGTATGCAGCATTTGAATAGTGAAACCTTGAACGCCGTCGTCGAATTGTTTACAAACCTTGCTCAGTGTGTTTCCCTTGTTTTTCTACCGCTGTAAGTAGGTGGGGTATGGGTTGGTGGATTTCCCGGGTATTGAATGCTTGAAAGCTTATTGATAGATAGCATTGCGGTGTTTTGGTGTTGATCCTGTGTTAATAACAAGCTGAGACTTGTATACTAAAACGTTACTGACAGGAGGTCATGCATAATGTTTATGTGGCTCGTGATCAAAGTAGGCCGTTTGTAAATCGCCCACGGTATTTGATATGTGTGACAGCGAACCTACATTTACGTGATAGTACTGTGCTTTTCAAAATTAGGTTGCAACGTATCTGCCTTCAAAATATTGCCCTGTTGCTGGAAAGCACATGCGTATGCAGGACATGTAGTGGTGGTTGTACATTGGGTTTCAGAGCCCATGATGTGGAAAAAATATTTACCACCTTATTGTTATTATTCCATTGCATGTGTTGCTGTGGTCTGGAATGAAGGGATGCTGTTCTGTCCTGGGTGAAATGCTGAAATGTTTCTGGTCATCAGGTGTTTCTGGAAGTGATGGGATAGTACTGCGGCATAACAGCTTAGGTAACTTATGTTGTACAGTGCACTTCAGTGACCAGCACACTGATCTGTGGCATGCTCACATTTGAAGCAAAATATTTGTGAGGTGTTTTGTGAAAAAATCCATGCTTATATGGTGGCAAAATGGTGCAGAGCTAAGGTGTGCATCTTATTGCTGGGAAACAAAACATATAGGTTATTTAAGTGCCCCAACTGGCCCTAACAATACCAATGTGTCAGTTGAAACTGTCATTGGGTATTGGTTGTTGTTGGGTGAGGTTGATCACTTGCATGATTTAGTTGTTTTTCACAACATCCTGTGATTCATCCTTTGGTTCATGAATATGATGTGTTGATTTGATAGTTAAAACATGCTATATGAATCTGAAGCATATTTGCTGTAATTTGGCAGCTAGTTATATGGTAGGTCCAATTCTCTTGAACAGACCCTTCCATATAATGCTCTTAAACATATTAATTGTCTGCATACAATGAGACATCTGTTGCGTCAATTTTCCCAATTATCAAAAGAATAGCTAGGCTTAAAATGTCACTAACATGTTTTGAACATATCAGTTGATTTAATATTTGGGACAGCTTTTAGCTGTTAGTTGATTGAAGTGTTCATTGTATGCCCAACATAAAAGTCACTGAGAAGTGAAGATAAAGACAACTAACTAAAAGCTTCAAATTGTGTGTTAACTTCTAAATGCAGGTGCAATGTTGGATTTATTATGCATCAGATTTGTGCTTGAATCTGGATCTGTGGGACCAGGTATGGATTGCTCACAACATTTGGAATTCACAACAGGCTAAGAATGTTGGGAATAGAACTCTAAACCGGCTTTAATTGTGATTTTATGGTATATTGCTCAGTAAAAAACCATTTGTATTGGAGTTAATAGTGAAAGTTCAGCCTATGATATGGACATCATAGCAGCCAATGAAAATAAAAGACATTTTATTTGGTAACAAGACAACTTTGTGGTAATGTGATGTGTGTGGTATAGATATGTCAGGCCTCATGTGCCCAATTACCCACAGTTGTGTTTCATTTGGTTGACTAATAATTTGGTCATCATAGCTCAGGCACTGCTGCAAAGGGAGCCTTAATGGAGTAGATTCTATCCTCCCTATATGACAACTTACTTGAGTCCAGAACTGCCTCTCTGACTCCACTGATAGTAAAGCACAACTCTTTTGCATGGGTGCTTGATATTCCATTGCTTGTGTGGGCACTGCTCCAGAGATGAACTTCAAAACCTTTGCAATAGGTCAATTTACCATAACTGTAACCACAATACTTTTGTGTGACCATAACAGAAAAGCATGACCTTTGTAGATTTGATTGTGTACACCATGTGTTAATGCCATCAGGAAATGGCTTTGATGATACAGATTTCCCAATGAGTGTCAGTACCAATTTGGTCAAAAGCCTCAGTTATGTCATTCATGACTTGGGCAGTATCTACCATGCCAATTAATTACTTGTCAATTGTTTGACAAGGCTTTTAAGTGAAAAAAATTACAAAGGATGGTTTGCTGCATAAGCACCCTTTTGCCACTGACCCATCCTCCTGCGCTATCTCATCAGGGGATGACGTCCAGCGCGATGGAGGAGCTGGAGGCCGACTCGCGTCGCTGCGTGCTGCTGACGCCAGTCAGCGGCAATCAGCTGCTGCTGACGTCAGAGCTGGTTAGCCTGGACGGCGTGCGACTGCTGTCGTCTCAGGCGCCGCAGGCCGCCGCCACCACCGCCGCCGCCGTCCGACCGCGCTGTCTAGTCTGCAGCGTCGATCTCTCAGCCGAACTCAAGTCCTGGAACGTGCACGACACCCGCACCAAGGAGACCAGCCTCACGCTGCACAAGAGGTGGGACCGCTCGTGGCGCGTGGCTGCCGCCTGTGACTGCGCGCACTACGTTCTGGCGGTGGCTCGCTTCCTTTCGTCTGGGATTTCTCTTTCCCTGGAAGACCTGCTGTGACAAAGGCCATGTCGTGCCTGTTATTTTGTGAATGGTTGCCACCTACAAGCTACTGTCGCTGTGGCAATGATCAGCTTTGCACTGAATGAGTGCATTTTTAAGCAACTGATTAAGTATAAGGAAGTTAATGTTGGC